GCTTTCGTATGAGTCTTCGTTATCGTAATTGTCTTTGTCTTTGCCTTTGCGTTTGCTTGCGTCTTTGTCTCCGTTTTTCCCCTTTGCCTTCCGTCTTTGCCTTTGGCAAAATTTTGGTATCCGCCTTCGTGTTCGCCGTCGTATTAATAGTTGCGTTCCCTAACTCGCAAGAAGTTGCAAGAATTTACAGGAATTTACCAGAAAGCGTTCCCGTACTTTGTTCCTGGCTTCTTTTGCTTTTTGACAGTTTTACTGGTTTTAGCCCAGAAAAGTCGGGGAATGCGACTATTATTCGGCCTCGTATACGTCGTATTATTATTAGGACTCGTGGTCCTATTCATCTGCGTAATTGTCTTCGTATCCGTGTTCGTCTTCGCATCCGTCTCCGTCTCCGTATTCCTGTTACAGTTTGTCTTCCGTCAAAGCCTTCGTTTTTTCCTTCATCGTAGCATTTCTATTAAATTTATTGGTAATATTTTTTCTATTTTCTCTTCGTCTTAGTAGTCATCTTCGTATTAGGATTCGTCGTAGTCTTATTGTTTGCTTTAGCCTTCGGCTTTGCCCTGCGCTGCCTTTGTCTTAGTATTAAATAGTCTTAATCTTAAGCAGATGCGTAGCTATCGATATTTATCTATCAATATCAATATAGTCAGGAAATAGGAAATAGAGATAGATGAAAATGGATATACTTCCGTTGCAGTGCAAGCGACACACACTGCAGTGATGAATTTTTTTTTTTAGATAGAAGGGTTTCTTACCTCGGTACCAAATAACTTGAAACATTTTTATAAATGTAGTAGATTTCCATAAGCTCTTCAACAACGCACCGTTATGTGCTCTAACACTTTTTGATGTACCGGAAAACGAGAAGACTCCCGACTATGACGTCACTGTGAAAAAAGTCATACCTAGAAGACAAGGCAGGGACCAAAAAACTTTTATTGGCGAAATAACAAATACTATGTTTCTTATCTAATAGCTGCTATGGATCAACGTTTTTGAGATAAAACTTATTGCTATTATGTCCCT